ATGTATTGTATTATAGATGAATGTGAGTGTCAGCGAACATGGATGCAGGGGAGGGGTGTTATAGCAGGAAAGATAGATTGTCCATGCATGTGTTCATGTTTGTGTGTAATAACACGCAGCCACACTCATTCCTCATGTTTCAATAAATATAAATAACGAATAATATATCAGTTCCTGCGTTTTGATGCATCACCTCCATGTACAATGTTTTTTAAAACATGGGCATGTTGCACAGTTTGAAAAAAAGACTAGCCTATCGACAGTATACAGGACAGTCAGAATATGTGTAAACATGAAAATATTGAAGGTATCTTTGAAATTAGCCCTTTTACATTATCATATTCAGGATGTGACGTTTACATGAAACATAAAATAACCTATATTCATGTCCCAGTTTACATGAATCTATTATTGTCCAGGTTTCTGATCATCTGCGTCGTGTATCTGTGTCTCCTTCTCATCCTCAGACTCACTTCAATTTCAGTTTATAAACATTTACATTGGATTGGGAAAACGCCAGCAAACATGGAGGACACTGATGGTTGTTATAAAACCAGAATATGGTGTTTGGATGAGCAAACAAAAGTGAGTCTTGTCCATTCGTCGCAAAGGACGAAGTGCGGTGACTTTATCAAAGAGGGACACATTTTGCAGAGGAATTAGGTCAGGGTCCATGGACGGGTTGACAAAAGGTCGGACTTAAACTCAAGGGACTACTGTCAGTGTCCCGTATCCTACCATCAATCAATATTGATTTCCTTTTACCACGACCACCATTGTTCCCTAACCTTAAAGTGGTTATTACTGCAGCCATGAAGACTACGATCTCCTAACCTTAATTAGTAGTAGTACGATAACAGCCTTAAGCTTGATGATTGCCTAAGCAAACTTGTTTTTGTCCCTTAACCAAAACTTGGCTTGAATGGGCACGAATAGGTCACAGATTTATTTTTTACAACAGTGATTTGTAACGGTTTTAAATATCAAATATGTATAATGACGACCTGATAGGGGTGTTAGATCAGAAATAAGCCTCTTTGTCAGTGTGGGCATGTGCGGGTGGAGGGAGGGAGGGGGGAGTGTAGTGAGTGTACTGTAATATTACAATATATGAAATGGCATCGATTATTGTAAACTATAATGAAATGAAAAGACTTGTAAAAAAAAAGAAAAGAAATAAGCCTCTTTGAACAGTTTATAACCCACAGATTTGTTGTTGTTTTTGTCTGTCTGACTGGTTGTCTGATTGCCTTTTGTTTTGTTATGTTTGTTTTGCCCTGTTCTTCCTTGTAAAGCGACCTTGGGTCCCATGAAAGGCGCTATATAAATCTAAGCTATTATTATTATTATTATTATTATTATTAATTAAAGGACTTGTAGGGGAACTGATGTTAAACATGGAGACTTGGTTTTCAACCCCTTTTTGGTTCAAATGCCAGCGAAATGTGACTGCAGGGCCCGATACAGGGCTGTCAAGCACACTGCCTGATTGCATTCACTCCTATTCATGAGCCAGGGTAATGATAAGGACAAAAGGACTCAATCTCCAGCCAGTGTAATACAGTAGATGTGCTTCTTCTGTGCTGAGTGATGAATTAAGATTGAAGTTTTAAAGTCGCCTTGAGAGATGCAATAGTCGAGGTGAAGAGAGTTTGTATTGACAGCTTTATGCTCCCTGGTAACCACTGCTGCTCAGCGTTGTATACTGTAAATAGGACGTTGTGCTCGAAGAGGGGACAGGCAATGCATTTCAATGTGGAGAGAGCCAAGGTCGCAATTTAATGTTCTGAATGAATCCAGCATTTACAGGGCAGAGGAGGTCACTCAATTGCCAGTCACTAAATCACTGGGTGTCTGACAGAGAATACAAGTTGATAAACCCCAGCTCAGAGGCCTATACTTCCAAATGGACGGTGAAAGAATATAATGGAAATTAGAGTATTGATGACTCAGAGTAGTGAAAGCTCAGCAGTCTGTTGTATAACCTCAACTATCAGGGCTTTTATAGGCCAAGTCAATCTTTGAGTTGAGACTTCTTTAAAAAAAAAAAATCAAACCATAAGCTTTTTTCTTTAAATCGATGGATCTATGGAGTAGTACAAAGTGCTTGGTTTATAGCAAAGCATGACATTGCAAAAGTGTTTTTGGCACTACAGTATGCTGCAGTGTGGGTAGTTGAAACGGTAATATAAAAACAAGCATGTTGTTTTTCACATTAAGATATATTTTTTACACCATTTTTCCAATTAACCAACATATAAGTCCATACTGAAAGAAAACTAATTTGTTGCAGTTCCACATTGCTGGACATTATTAATATGCACTATATATAACTAGCTGCAATACAATAATATAGAAAAAGGGTCAAGCAAAACTCATTATAAAACACTAATGTAGCTTATGTCATTATGAAAAAACAATCTGGTGCACAGTAGGTGACCCATGGTATGATGAAAATAGCAATAGTTTGACAGGATTGAATTTGGATGGAAGGATTATTATGCGAACATGTGTTTGTTGAGCAGACATAACATCTGAGTACCATCAGAAGCTTGAGCTTTATCCAAATAAAATAGAGTGAGATAGATATTATAGTACCAACCCCAATTAATAACTGAGCCACCTCAAAATCATAACTGATTACTTAGCACTATAGAAAATAGAGCATCATAAACATTTAATGATCCTGCAGATGAAAGCTTTATTGCCACAGTTAAACATGGCCTTTTACAGTGGTTAATGTCAACCAAGGGTAACGTCCAAACTCTTAGCTCTACAACTCTTTACCCTCTAAAGCGCAAAATTGTAATTTCTCGCAAATGATGGAACAAGACTTTGGAAGGCAATGAATTGTCCTTGAATATTTGTCTGTGAACAAGTGTTGGAAACCTGATAACACTCCTCANGGGGTCTGGCTGAGCCGGCCGGCTGGCACTGACACTGCCACTGGCTCTGCGATTAAGCCACGGGAGCCATTTTGGGGCTGATTATTCATGGTGCTACTGTACTGATGTTCCACTACACTGAATTCTCTCATTAGGTCATCCGGCTCTAAAGGCCATTACATTTTCAGTCAGCATGAATAAGTCAGAGAGTTCTGCCTCTGATCATGCCGTGCAAAGAGTCCCCAAACTCATCATAGGTGCTCTGCTGAAAAATAAAAAATGAAACCCCCCCTCTCTCGGGACAGGGGTAACATTTTCTCAATTAAATATGTGAGAAGTGCAAGGGTTGGCGGCGGGTTATTTAAAAATCTTATTAAAGCTGAGCGTGTGGTGCCAGCAGACAGCATTTCCAGAAGTATCGATCAGACATTTGCAGCGGGTAAATGACTCCCAAAGGGAACACTGGAGCAATGCCAAGCCTCAGAATGTCTAACTGACTTAATGCAGATATAAATCCCCATTCCAATCAAGGCCTTTTTATTTGCGGTCCTGAGCAATGCAATACGTCACCTGCGCTGCTGCACGTTTCCGTCAATAAAACGCTGTCAAATCTGTTAAATGCATGCTGCATTGACGACATATGATTTATAATGTTTCCTTCCAAGGAGGAGCGCTCCTCACACAATGCAGTAAACAGGTACTTGGTGCTTCGGGTCGTTGGCTTGCCACAATTACTCATCATTGTTCTGTATTCCCTTGGGCCATTTTTTATGCTTTTCAGATCGGGATGCATAAATAATGTGAAAAGGCACGAGCAATTAGCATTAATTAAAAATGAACTACTATTAAAGCCTCTACATTAACTAATAGCTTAAAAGGATTACCCCCCAATTGCTTCTCAAGAGATTGTTTAGACGTCTCATTTACAAAGTGAACAGCACACCAAATGGAACTGTTAATGCAATCAGCTAAAAAATGAAATTAAAAGAAACCATCAAGGGCATGGAGAGACATTAGAGAGAGAGAGAGAGAGGAAATGAACTGTTCACCAGCAAGGCAGTAGGCGAGATTTTCCAGAGCCCTCTGTGCAATAGAAAACATTTTTATTGCTGTTTGCTGCTGGCCAGAAAATGACCGGGGGAAAACAAAGACGAATGGAGCTATTGACTTCAAATACGACCCTTTGAAAGCAAAGCCACAGGCCTATCCATCGCCATCTATTGTATTCATGAGTGTGACCTGTGGGGGTGGGATGAGATGGAGCTCGGGGGGGAGGTGATGGGTGCCCACCTGCTCCACTCAGCCTCTAAGACACTAGCTGCCAGGAGATCAAACAGGCCTCCTCGCTCCCCTCTGTTCTCCCCTCTCCTCGGGAACAGGTCCCATATAGGAGGCGAGTGACCCACTTTTCCTCCCTCCCTGTGCTATTACCTGGAGAAAATAGACTGATGTGGTGTGTGTGTGTGTGAGAGTGTGTTGAGTGGGTGGTTTTGCAGTGCTGAACAAAAGCTTCTCATCTTCACTTACTGTTCAGAGATGAAGGAGTAACTAGGACTCCAAAGAAAAGCATGTCATTTCTTATCAAATACTATTGCATGTGAGATTGTTTCTCTAATGGCTTGTCTTGACCTAGTCTATGTTTTGTTTCTGTGCTGCTGCAGTGGATGTTAACTGAGCTCACTCAGATCTAGTGCATTATCGGGGGGGATCTCTTTGGGATGGCAGTGTTGATTTGAAATCAACTAGACATGCGACAAATTTGCCAAACAAATGGATAATTTGCCGAACACTGCGAGACCAAATGAAAGCGATGATAATGCTTTGATTCCAATGCTCCCGGTGTAAATTGTTTACAATCCTCGGGGCTTTATGGAAGGTAGAGCCATCGCTTATTGTTTTCACAGGAGCAGATTGATATTGATCGTCTCTGACAGCTAGCATCATGATACTTAGCGGCAGTGACCATTTTCTCTTTGGCCCTGCACTGACTCCCCCTCTGCTGGATCTTTTTGTCAGTCGTGTAGCCACCTCTCCTTTTCTGCCTCCTTTTACTACCCTCTTAACATGTACTTCACTTTTTATGTCCTTTTCACTCTTTGTCTTCTTTCCTCTCAGGCCTCACTTGGTGACAGATTACATGGGCATCAGGAATGAGAGCTTTATGAAGATTGCTGCCGTGGGGACGTGGATGGGAGACTTTGTCACAGCGTGGATGGTGAGATCTCAACTCTTGAGGCCTAAACAATAGATAGTGTTGCATTTATTAAAAGGTTGTATTTAATTTAAACATTACATTCTACAATATTAAAAACACATTTGTATACAATTCTCTTTTAGCCATGCTAGCAGCTTGGTATTGTAACTTGTAAATATTCATGGTCCCCAGATGACGAATCCAAAGTGATTTTGGTGAACGCTTCTCTTATCATGCAGCTCCGACAGGTTGCAATTTACCACTTGTTTGACACTAATAACTCTTAATTTAATAACCATAATTAATCAACACCTTCCAGCTGTTGTTGTTTAGAGAATGCTAAACATTAGCATGCTACACCAACATGCTAAACCATTTTTTTGGAATTTGTTTTCCCATACCTTACCATTAGAACTTTAACCATGTTTTTCTATTTATTAATAGGCCAGATTGTCATATTTTAGAAATTGTATACAAGTAATTGTTTTTATGTTGGTACAAAAAGTATTCATATTTGATACCAAGCCCTCACTAAATAGTAGTATGTTAATTTGCCAAACACTTGCATTTTAACATTCTAAAAGTGCAAAACAGTCACCGACACCGTAGCTAATGGCTAGCTGCAGGCTTGTTAAAATGCCGATGTTAGCACATAGGAATGCTAATTCTTCTTAATTTTCCCATCCCTACCATCTTTTCATCTATACCTCATGAAGTAATCTTGGCATTATGCTGATGAAAGTTTAGCCTCATCTGATATTAGATAGATAAGTCTGAAGGGATACATTGGAGATACGCTTTAAGAGCTAAAGTACATTTGATACACCCTTTTAAATGAGCTAATTAGTAACAATGGCTTTCCTCCGGTATCATCTGCTCACGCCAAACTGTGTGGATGATTCATTGCCCCACTGATGGCATTCAAGACTATCATTTATTCATCCTCAGTTCTCTACAAAGTTTCCATCAAAGATCACAAATGTTATTTTTGAATATATCAAAATCATATATGAAATGCAAAATGAAGCTATTAGTCACACACTTTTCTAATTACTAGGCCAGGTATATCCTCTCCGCTGATGTAAGGCACACACTGAAAGCCCTGTGCGCATCCAGATCAATCTAATACCAAATCTTTAGAGTAACATGCGGTTTGATCTAAGAAGGGTCAAAGGGAACAATGAATGCACAGGGGGGGGAGGGAGGAGAGAGTTTGTTGGTGTGTAGAGACCTACCTTTGTTCATTTGTCAACATAAAGAGAGGAGGAGAGCTCCAGCGGGAGTGGACTACCTGTGGTGGGAGGAGTGGAGCTCTGGCACCGACATGCACACAGCTGAGACAACTTGACATGCTCCCTCACCGCTCACATTAGTATTCCACAGTACATACTGCAGAGAAGAGAGAGGGGGAGGAGGAGGAGGGAGTAAGAGGGAGTAAGACACTGAGGTGAAGGGGAAATGTAGTCTGGTCAGAAGGGAGGCGTGGGGGAGGCAGTAAGTGAGAAGGTGAATCGGGGAGACAGAGGTGTGTGTGTGTGTGTGTGTGTGTGTGTGTGTGTGTGTGTGTGTGTGTGTGTGTGTGTGTGTGTGTGTGTGTGTGTGTGTGTGTGAAAGGAGAGTAAGTTGGGCCAAGGCAAAGCGCTGATTCCAGAAATTACTCACAAGGTTTTTACATTCGATTAATTCAACAAGGCACTTTGAAGATGACCTCTGTGTCTCCTCCGCCGAGCAGATTTACAGTGTGTCTTCCCCAGATGAGTGAACAGGAAGTGTCTGTTTTTGCAACGCTGCAACGGCGAAAACATCTCATACATTGCCTGATTCAAATCCTCTTTCAACACGAGCTACAGTTTCTGCAGTGAGGCGCTTTATTGACGAACTGACCTTGCTTCTGCAGTGGCTCCACACAAAGAATATAGTGGAATATTTCATACTTGTGTTTAAAATGCTCTCTGTATCAGTCAGAACATCTACTATCTATTGTAGTAATAACATTATCAGATGTTAGAGGCAGTGAAAGACAGGTACAACCACAACATTCATATTGAAACAAGTTGATATTCCTTAAAGGCAATGACACAGTCATTCGTGTGTAATCACAGATTTTGTGTTATTCAATTATTTAATACTTTGATAATATGTTATAATAATATGTATTATTAAAACAGATTCTAATTGAAATGTTTGAGTGACTTGGAGGTGGATTTATGAATTTCAGCCATTACACACTGTAACGTTTTTTACAATATTTTGTTCCCGCATTAGTGAGGTCAGGACTCTCAGGCTCCTGTCTGTCCATTAAATATGGAGCCTTGTCTGGGAGATGGTTACCTTAGCTTGGCACAAAGACTAAAAGCAGGCGGAAACTGAAAAAGCCTGTCTCTGTACAAAGCTGTAAAAAATGATTTACCGGTGACTCTCAAGCTCCCTAATTAACACGTTGTATCTTGTATGTAAAATTCGAGAAAAGAAAGGTGAAAAGTGACTTCCAGGAGGTAACTGCACCTCCAACAAAATTGGGAGGCATTAACCACTCCTGTAAAGCCCTTTTTGCACTTACTTTTTTTTTTACCAATTACGGTACACAAACAAGATTTAATGCGTCACATAACTTTACTCGTGCTGTAGGAATATTTTGTTACTTTGAACACAGCCAGGTCTAGTCAAAGTAAAGCTATTTGCCTACAATTTGTTAAAATAATCTGTCCTTACTTCCTCTAAATCTAATCTTCATAAGTAATGAAGTGATACGCACGTTTCTTTCTGCAGGTGACAGATATGATGCTCCAGGATCAGCACTACCCAGACTGGGGCAAAGCAGCCAGAAGGTTCTGGAAACAAGGCAACAACCGGATTGTTCTTTTCTGGTATGTTCTCATCAAGATAAAATGTCAATGAGACCATGTGTATCTTTTTTGCACATACAGTAATAGGATTTTTATAAATGTCTCTGGCTACTGGCTACTGAAAATATGATATATTCTTACAGGGCTCTGTAAGGGCTTTGTAGATGTGTGTGTGTGTGTGTGTGTGTGTGTGTGTGTGTGTGTGTGTGTGTGTGTGTGTGTGTGTGTGTGTGTGTGTGTATTCATAAGTGTGTGTGTGTGTGTATTCATAAGTGTGTGTTATGTGTTCTCTCCAGCCCTCCGCAGGGTTACACACAGTCAATAGCCGTGTTAATCTTCCCTCACTCAGTGTCAGCACCTTTAATTAGGAGAACAGGGAGAAAATCAATGGACACAGCAAGGTCACGGGGCAAACCATAACCCTGCTTTCTTACTTTCCTACCACAAGCTGTGACCCTTAAATAACTGCTAAACAAATGCTGCAAACCACGTCTGATATGCCCATTACCAGACAGCCAGTAGGAGCGTTCCCCGTTTAGATGCATTACACCACCAGTGCACGGTCCCAGCGCCGTTCATTCACCAGAGTGGCTCAGAGCTGTCAGTCAAACACGACATGTGAACGCCTCTCAGTGGTTCATTTCAGGGTCATGGTGAGAAGTGAAGGGTTTAAAGAAGACATTGCGGTTGAAACAGTTTGACATCTGTTTGATATTTACACAGAGAGGTCTCACACTTCACATTCAGTGTGGCCGCATTGTTTAACATTTCCTATCGCCGCATCGATTCACCTGCAATTAAAATGCAAGCAGTCAAATTGTTCTGTGACTTTTTCTGGAGCCCTTCATTTTATTGACACATGGCCCGACTCACACCGTCACAATCAATGCCGGATTTGACAAGCTTTCGTTTGAAACTCAGAGCTTGAAATATGATTTGATAAATGCGTTGCTGGATGTATCTTATCATAATGCGCCGAAGGGGTCAGGGACGAATCGTAGAGGACAATGCCAAAAATGGAGGCAAAGGACTCCCACAGCGGAATAATAAAACCCCTTTAAAAGCTTCTCCCATACATTCGAAATGGGATATGAGCTGGCATTCACTATCTGCAATGCAGCCAGCCGATGTGTGGTGTGAGAATGCTCGCAACAGCACAGCAATCACAGGGTGACATTGAGACACAATGCACAGTGGAGAATAATACCAGCCCTTTCCTCAATGTGCCATTCTTCATATGGGACATTTCCCAGTAAAATGTGTAGGCAGGACTACAGCAGCGTGACACAAACACAATTCAGAGAGTGTGAACGATTTCAGAAAAAACCCACAGCAATCACTGCATGCAGGTAAAAGATACTTTGGCTCATGTTAAATATGGAAATACATGGAAATGTATATATATGCAGTAGGGTTTTGAATGGCATTGTTTCTGCATCCACAAACAGACACTTTTTTCCTCCTTGAACATTCATCTTCCTCGAAGCTTTATCTTCTGCCTTTTTTCAAATCCAGGTAAAATCGTTCTTCAACACATTATTGAGTCTGTGAGCAGAGGAACAGAATTGACTGATTTATCTGCGTATTTTTGCTTTTGACGTAGGAAAGGAACTGGAGCTCTTTGTCTTCCAAGATAGACACAATTAACTGTTCACATCTTCTTCTTTATAGATATTTTAACGTTTTTTCACGGCTCGTCTCCTTTTGAATGTGTGTCAAACATTGATTTATATCCCCTTCACTGCTTGCCTCTTTTTTACTTCCCCTCCTATCATCCCCTCCCCTTGGCTCTTTTTTCATTCCCTTTTCCTTTCCTCTCCTTTCTTTTCCCCTCTGCCCCCCTCCTTCCTTTCCTCTATTCTGCATTCCTTCCCTTTCCTTGCTTCCTTCCTGCTGCCAATCCTTCCTCTACTCTCGTCCTATTTCTCTTTATTTGACCTCCTCTCCTCTGCAGGACTGTGCTCATCACTCTGACCTCGGTGGTGGTTCTGGTCATCAGTACGGACTGGATCAGCTGGGACAACCTGAACCGCGGCTTCCTGCCCAGCGACGAGGTCTCCAGGGCCTTCCTGGCCTCCTTCATCTTGGTTTTCGACCTTCTCATTGTCATGCAGGTAGACCGCTCCCCTGTGGCCAATTAAAAGAAGGGATCTGGGACTTCTCTTGGCTTATTCCTCTACCCATCTTGCCAGTTCCCCTCCCTCCCCTGCTATTCATCAATGGGGCACTGCGGCACAGAGACGGGTGTTTGATCACTCTCAGTTGGCATTCACACAAACACATGCACACGCACATGTATACACCCACAAATATATAGACATACAAACGCTTTTAATTCTTTACATCTCCTCTCTGTCGGTCCCTCCGTCCCTCTCTCCCAGGCCTCAGCCATGAACTCACCCTTTACTCCCCTACTCCCCTGTGAGCCTGGTTTATTTTCTTTAATGATGACTCACAAGAGTTTTTCTCACTTTCCCCACTTTTTTTTTCCCAGCCGATGTCCTCCCTCCCACAGGAGAGTGTAAATCAATAAAGCCTGTGTCAGTGGCTCATGCATATGCAAATGTGTTTGTCTGGGCATAACCACATATCTGCGTATTGAAGCGGAAAGAGAGTGGGAAAAAGCGTTTTTTTTTCTCCCGTTGTTTTTTTACGCCCGGAGCCAGTAATGCCGGCCAATCATGTATGGGGTTTGACTGCCAGCCTAATGCAACAGGGCTCCTCCAAATGCTTAATGAACATATTTCACAAGGCCTTGTTGGTGGGTATTAGAGGACAAGACTAATATTTGCTATCCACTAAATATATGTTTCTACTCGGTTGATTATGCTAATTAATAAAAGCCTGCAAATTAAAGGGAGAACATCTTCTAGTGTTATAAATACACCATTCCACAGAAACATGGCAACTGCACTAATAGTATTCCTATGGAAATATGTGTTAGAGCAACTGCACCACTAAAAGTGACTTTTCATTATTACTGTATAAGAAGGGCTTGAGGCCGCTCTGGCCTGTAATTACTTCTCACTGTGGTGTTTTTCTCATTCATTTACCCAATTATTGTGATTATGCAGATATACAGAAACAGCTTATAGTCTGCATGCGTTTTCTCGCAAAGATGCCAATGTCTTGCTGTGGCCAGCCTTTTTAGAAATAAAAACACAAATCTGATGTGACATTAAGGAAACGCTCCCTATTTTTGACATCTCCGTTTGACTCCCTTAGACAGTCTGGACCAGCGACTCCCTCTCCCTCTGACTTGCTGGTTTATCACTCCCCGCTCACATAGATTTGTTTACGACAGGCACTTTTCATTTTCTGCACTGTGTACAGAGAGCACATTTACAACAGTTATTTATGATTTAGTTGGACTGCGCTGTTACACGGCCCAAGCACTGGAGGTCGACGCTACATTCCACCTTTCGATAAAATCCGCCACTCTCCCAACAGCTCCATTCGCCTCCATCTTGGAGCACAGGGTGCCATTGTTAATCTCTCACCTCCATGAGAAAATCTGGTTGTTGTTGTTCTCAAACTAATTAATTCCCCAATTAATGACCTGCCAGGATTTGCCTCCAAGCTGGGTTTTACTTTTTTTTTCATATTTTCGGAGCATAATTGTACCGTTTCTCCCAGCTGAATGTCAGATATCTATGCCCTTTGTGTATATGCATATACACATTTACATATGGGGATCATATGCCTGTATTCACACTATCAAATTACTCTTCCCATATATGTCTTGGAGACTCATTATATTCTGGGATAGAGGTGCATGACTTGAATACCATGCCTGTTAGTGCTACAGCAACAGATACTGCAGATATGGAAGAGGAGTGGATGACTTAATTAATATCCAGGGGACCATCAGCAAGCTGTTATGCTGTTCATATATGTAGCCATGGGAGACTCTGGATCACATGAGGATACATGGAGTGTAACATGGTAATGTGAAGCCGTAGCTCTGTGCAAATAATGATAACCGAGGGGAAATATTGCTAATATAAAAATTCTAAGATTATGTGTGCTTTTTTTTGCTGTAATAGTGATAAAAGCTCCTATGCGAGATGATAAAGTCAGCTCAGTGGAAGGAAATGTTTCTGAAACATTTGCATTTTCATCGCTATTAGAGGGATTTTCATTTGTTTCATCTGTGTTTGCCAGTTTAATTACACTCTTCATTATGCAAAGTTGATAAATACAGTTTGTGTAGTACACATTTCAGTTTTAAAAGTAAGAATTTACTTAATGTAAAATAAAGATAATATGGCTTTATTTTCAATTTTTTACAATTACATTTTTATTTAAGGAACCACCTTCAGCGTCAGATTTTTTTAAAACAGATGTTCTTATTGGATGTTGCAAATCATTATTCTATGAAACAATTTAACATATTACAAACATTATTTATCTTTTGAACACACTAACTGAAGCATATGTACCAACATGTAGGAGGTCTTTCAGATTAACTCAATAGTAAGTGTTCTTTATGATTTAGGCTAAGTTACCCATTTACATTGTATTGAAGGGAAACTAGTTATTCACAAAACTGATCACAATGTAAACAAGCACAATAAAAGTTGAAGTTTTATTGACGAAGGGATTTTGAGAACATTGTGCTATCTACATTTTCTTGCCTTTTATTTTTCTGTATTTATTTTTCTGTTTTTCATATGCACCTCATCAGGGTAGTGACTGCTGATTAGCCACCAAATATAACCACACTCAAAAAGAGCTAAGTGGCACCACAAGGCATGGGCAGCTTCTAAATGTCAGGTTTGGTTGCGTGTTGATGTGTTTTGACATGTTGAAATCCCAGTGCACATTAGAACACTCCAAAGTCCTGTAAACACACAGCGTAGTCAACAGCAGCTGGCACCAGGTCTGACCTCCAGTCAGTGCACGAGGACACTCCACAGGGACTGAACCTCAGCTTATATGAGAAAGGCATTGCTCAACAACCAATAAAGCACAATACATGGCTGACATCTATCATGAGAATGTGGATATTTGAATGTCTTCAGTTTTCTACAGCGGAGAAATTATCACAGTCACAAGGTACATTGATATGCTTGTGTGTGTTTCAGGACTGGGAGTTCCCGCACTTCATGGGTGACCTGGATATGAATCTTCCAGGAATGTCAACTACGCATGTGAAGGTCAAGCTTCCTCTCTGCAAGAGTATCTTTAAAGAGGAGTACCACATCCATATCACAGGTACATGCCGACACGTGCACTGCTGCTGCATACAAAGCACAGGGTCATCTCATTGTTTCTTGGGAAACCCTCTACCTTTACTCAATAGTTTAATCAAATATCACCCGTATTGTTTGTGATTACCCAGCAGAAATAACCTGATTAAATAGCAGAAGAAAGAGAAAATGTCCACGGTATAGAAAAACGTAGAATTTGGTCTAGTTTTCTCCCTGCTCTAGTTTTCCATTTCCCTCTATATGGGAAACAGTTTGATGATTAAACCACAGCATCCATTTATAATACATGTGTAGCGATCTGACACACAGGTGGCTCCACCGCTGCAAATGTGCTTCCCGTTCCTCGTGTTCCACCCTGCCGTGCGAGTCGCATCGCTCATCGTCTTTCCCGTCTCCGCGTCTTAATGCTCTCGGCGAGCGAGTGTATTTCCCATTCGTAACCACCTTCCCGCTTTCTCCATTTTGTTCCGCCGCGTGCACACGCTGACTCACGACCATAAAGAGAAGGCAAAACCAATGTTCCCGTGCTAAATGTTAAGCTGTTCAAACGTTCAGTGATTCGCAAGAGGTTGTTAACCCTAATGCATTGCATATCCATTAAGCATTATGGAAATGGCTCCGATGCGACGTGATTGGTTTAACTAAAAGCGTATTAACAGCGTATCTCAGGGAGGGTAAAGGGAGAGGTGTCACGTATACCCCGGGAGACATCTGCCCGCTATCAGTCAACCTGAGGAGATGGCTGTCTCGTGGTAATGTAGTGATCTCGTTAGAAGATACTGTTGAGGGAGTAGCGCTTACAAATGGGTCTGTGTCTCAATGCCCGGTTATATGCAGAGGGAGGGGAGTTCCTGATCAAAATAAATGTGACAGCATATCCGTCTGTCTGCCTCTGCCCTTTATATCTTGTTTGTATTTGTATGTGCTATACATCAATGTGTTGTTTTCTCTTAACCCTCTCTCAAAGATAGCCTTGTTTGTGATCTAACAGAATGTCTCCTTACAGGTAAGTGGTTCAACTACGGTATCATCTTCCTCGTGCTGATCCTGGACCTGAACATGTGGAAGAACCAGATCTTCTACCAGCCCTACGAGTACGGTCAGTATGTGGGCCCCGGTGAGAAGATCTTCACGGTGGAGGAACCAGAGACTCTCCAGTTCTTCAACCGGAGCACTCTCACCTACGAGTGGCGCTCCACCAACATCAATCCCGACAGCAACCTAACCTACGTGGAGCGGGACATGTTCCTCCACAGCCGCTGGACCGGATCCGGCCTGTACATCAAGTGCCTGGCCTTCATCCCCAGCCTGGCTGCGTTCTTCCTCTTCGGGTTCTTCGTTTGGTGGTTCGGGCGATTTCAGGACAGCGAGACGTTCCCGGAAAACCCGGACAAGTCGTACGAGAGGATAAAGAGGAAGTCGCCGTCAGAGTACAGCAAAGAGATGGGCGTGACGCCAGAAGAGGTGCCCATGAACATGAGTGACAGTCTGAAACGAATTGGAACGCCAATGCTTCTCTCGGTGGACGGGCAACATTTCGGAGCGACGCCCTCTACGAACTCAACTATCTCCATGGAGACCCAGGAGACACATCCGAGCATCGTGATTGACAGCGCGGAGCAGGAGGAACCAGCGGTCTCTTTCGATGTCCACAAACTCTCTCCGTGACCTCATGAACTCCTGAAACTTCATTTATAAATGAGAGCTCAAGATTCAGTCGGTCAACATCTTAAGACGTCTCTTGTTCCTTGGACAAAGACCAAGCTTCAGCAGAAGTTGACAAAAAACTGTTCATGGTTTGGAAAATATGGACAAAGTGATGTTCCATGATCACAAAGGCCAGTCCTGATGGCTGTATTTGTTTGAATATATTTTTCTAAATCTATTTTTTAAACAGCACCGAGTCTGATAACAAACACAGAATGCAAAACTTTTAATTGACATGGTGCTCGCTCGGGTTTTGCATTTTCATAATTCAATTTTGTCACGGGGAAGCCATTGTGGTGCCTATATACCAGAGGAGTATTTATACAGTCATGACATTGCAGCCAGGTGGAGTTTATCGTATTACACCGATGTTACAGCTACACTAGTGCCTTGATATTTCATATATAACCAGATACAGACTGAAACGTATTCAGTCTATGCTACTATAGGCAACAAAATGGAAGATGTCCAAGTTACAGTATGCTTTAACATCTTATTTATGTATCACCCGGACAATTGTTACCTTATTTTATCCTAAGGCTTTATCATTTTAATTTATTATCATGTGACGTCAATCGTCCACTTCTTGTTAAATGACATGATTATGAACATTGATGACCTACATTACGTTACATGTTACTTGTTAGATGCTTTTATCCAAAGCAACTTACATATTCAATCCCCACAGGAGCAATTTGGGGTGAAGTGTCTTGCCCAGGGACACAACGACATGCTGACTGCAGTGGGGTTTGAACCTGCGACCCCCTGGTGCGAACACATGCGCACAACCCACTGCGTCAAACATTCATATCCTCTCACTTGATATTAGTTACTGAGATATTAAATGCAATCAGCTAGGATCAAATAGCTAACCAACAATCCACCTCATGATTGCTCGTGTGGCCGCTGCATCTGGACTGAATACCAACACAGTCAGAAGGGTGGTTTTGCCCTCGGCATAAACACGCCATTGAAGTGCAGAGGAGGCTTCTGCTCCAAAGCTCAGGATTTCTTTATCTCTAGATAAACCTTAAAAGGTTTAGAAGCAGTATTTTCAGACATGGTAAATGCATGAAGACTTATTTATTTATTTATACATTATCCTAGTGTTAAAAAAATATATATATGATGTTCAAACGCAACTGAAACCTTCAGCATTTATCTGGCTTGAAAAATATTCACTGCCTTTCCACATATTCTCCTATGCTACCAAATCTCATATACAGTATATTGGCAGTTATTGGTCCAAAAAGCATGCCCTTCAGTTTTTTCTGTGAAGTGCAAATACTAACTCAATTACCAAATTACTAACTAATGTTTTTTTAGGTGTGGCACTTTCAATAAGTAAAAGTAATTTGACCAAAGATACAACATGTTTAAGTGTTCTCAACAAATAATGCTGCATAAGATGATATGCTAATTTAAAGGAGCTATATTCATGATAGACAGAGTGGAATGATATTATGTGTTGTTGCACCACTCTGCATTATAATGGACTGTAATGTACTATAATGTCCTGGAAAAGGATTCCCCAAAAACAGGGAAATATCAAACACTAACCCCATCTTTTGCTTCCTAACACAGTTGTGACAGAGTTTTGTTCAAACATTATTATAAGTAATGAGCCTGGGGTGTGCCGCCAGAAGTTACAGAGTCCTGCATAATTTCACTTTAATCATTAATGACTCCATTTTCCTTTTCTGTCTTTACATGATACAGTATCTGCCTATCATGATGCATCTTACTTTTAATGTGTCTGCTTCTTTCCATTTAAAGTTTTCATTTCGCAGTTGCTCAAATTCAAAGACATGTTTATGTTATTTTGAGATGTGTTCTTATTATTATTATTATCATTTAAAAAAAAATCTTGATTTTATTTATTTTTGATTTTATTCATCTGTGTGAATCTTTGCTGTCATGTGTTTTCACGCTTACCCTGTTGCTGCTTTGTACAACTGAATTAGGTTCATCTTATCTTATCTTATCTTATAAGCAGCAGCTGTCTGATCTCTGATTGGTCAGCTCCCATGTATTGGCAGGAGTCTGCCAATCAGAGCAGCTTCTCTGTGTGTTGGATTTCATTTTTAGGTGGCACACTGCTAACATTTCTTTAAAAAGTTAATTAATACACCAACTAAATGTGCCTCGAATTAATGAATTGAATAGTTAATCAGCGTAACATATTTTTTATGTGTTAATTTATTATATTTAATACTGTAAAACGTAATTATTATTATTACGGTTGCACACCCCCGACTCCTTACGTGTGTGTGTGTGTGTGTGTGTGTGTGTGTGTGTGTGTGTGTGTGTGTGTGTGTGTGTGTGTGTGTGTGTGTGTGTGTGTGGCCGCCTTTGTGTGTGTGGGGGTACATTGTGGAGGTGTGTATTTATGTCTGTAAAGGATGTTTCATACAAAATAGTGCATGTTGTGTGTCTGTGCACTTGAGGCTTGAGGAGGGCGTAGGTGTTTGCCAGACTTGTTTTTTGACAAAGGCCATTCTGTGAAGAGGTCAATTTATTTAACATAATTGGTTTGCAGCATTTGCTTCTGTAATGATCCTTTTATACATTACAGCTCTTTGAGGACATTAGATATTAGTGTCTCACCAAAGGCCAGCAGTTCTCTGGACTTGAAGAGTGTAATCTGTTTGTTATATATTGTGTTTAGGTGAGGCCTTCCTTTTTGTTGTTTTCATTGAATTGTGTTGCAAAGCTGACACTTCCTTCAGTCCCTTTGTGTTTGTGCTTTTTACTTAAAGCAGAGTAAATCTTTTGTCAGTGTTTGTTCAATGTATGTCTGTTGAACCTTGTGTTGACAATAAATTAATACATTTGTTATATACCCTATGGAGCTTTTTTGACCCCGTTGTTTTTATTCAATAACATCAGAAAGTCTTAAAACAAGGTTGCTGAAATGGTTATCAAGAAAAGTTCTCGTTTTTTTTATATGCTTGGGAAATGGTTGCCAAGCAACAGCACAGGTCAAGCTTCTTGCAGCTGCTGACCCAATTAATACGGGCGATACGAGAAATAATGATACTATCTCCACAAGGTCTCTTGAATATATAGCCGGCATACACATGGCACCCGGCTCAGATTAGTATGAGGACGGCTCGGGGAGGGTCCGCTGCTTGATTTATGCCAGTGGGAAACAATTTGAATTTGTTATGTGTTCTGTTCCCCAGCAGGATTAGTTTACAGAACATCTATTTGTGAAAATGAGTCATAGATTGAATAAAAAAATCTGAGGAAGGGAAAGTGTAAAGACAGAATTGGTTTAAGGCTCTCAAGCCGGGGTCAGGACCTCTCCAAGGGGTTATCAGATTAAACTGACGGGTTGTGTGGTTGCTCTGCTACAAAAAATGTAATGAATTATTATTGTAACTTCAAAATTCAAATAAAAATTCCCTTTAAAAACGTTCAAAAACATGAAAAATGTCTCATGTAAGAAAAAAGGAATAGAATAGTATATTTAAAAAATGAGTCATAATATAGTATGTAGAAATATGATCATATTCATCGTATGGTATGTCGAAAAAGATTTTGAAAAAATACTATTACTTAAGTCATGCTTTAGTACTTAAAAAGACAGTTTTAAATAATATCATAGTATTGCATGTCAAAAATAATATTATAAAATGTTCATAAAAAGGGAACCAGAAGCCAAGAATCCTGTGAAATGTATTTTTATTTACAACATTGTATTACATACCTCACCACTCGCTGTAAATTCTCCCTATGAGCATCTGCTACCTGCCTTTGATGTTAAAATATAAAACAATCCCTATTGTGTGAAGGCCCAGCAGCTGCATCAACACCTGAGGTCTGGGAACATATTTTCATTGTCAGAGTATTAGCTGTTTGTCTGAGGCCTCTTCCAAGTCTGCCATTGGGCTGAGATGAGATATTGATTTCCGGAGGGTCTTGCAATAATTGAGAGAACACATCAAAACAGGAGTTTCAAAAATGTTTGTGGGGTTTGATGCCTGATGCCCAACGTTGTGTTAACAGTGTATTGACTAAATCCTGTTGGCAGCGTTCGGGATCGATTGCATTCGGCCTTTGATTACATTTTCAAAAAGCTGCTTTTTTTCATGACTTTGGATCTTATGTAGACGTTTTGAGGGAGGGGGGGGGGTTACCTTGGTGGGTGATTGGCTAATGGTTACACAAGCCAAAAAATCGTTATGACATCATAAAGTGGCCAAAATCTGATCAGCTCATTTTCAGACAGGTTTTTTACATACAGTAAATGGATCAGGACAAAAAGTGAGGGAAGCTTTTTTCCTGAAACTTTCTGAAGAGGGGTCACATGTTTATGTGAAAAAGATATGAAAAATAGGTGAACTTTAAACTAGTACGGTTGTATCTAAAGCTAAATGTAAACCTGAAAAATCCCCCAGAGGAAGCGAGTCATGACTACAGATCAACTTGAATCTCCTCTACTGTCTTTGAGCTATTCTCTAATTAGATCGGTGTATCATGTCCTGGCATGGCCCATCACTCTGTGCTGACAGCTGCGTGACTCTGGGAGACCCTGTGAAATGTATCAGTGCAGTCAGTCACATCCAGAGAGCAGGTTTCCCCCTCTTCCTCCCCCCCTCAGCCCTTCCTCCCCCCAGGGAAACGCCATTCTTCTGTAATTCCTCCTTCTGGTTTCTGATACCTAACAGAGCGACATATGGCACGGATATATCTCTCAACACATCCAAAAACTCACTTAGTGGACTGAATCCCAAGACAGGGGTTTGTGATAATGCTGTCTGCTTTACTATTCCTCTGTGGGGGAGAGGGGATTTGGTTTTATTCTAATTCTTCTTAAGTCCAATTTAGTGAATAATTAAGTGGTGACTAACTGTTGCGCTGCTTTAAGAATGTGTAGCAGCCAGGGACAGAAACTACTATTGAAGAAGTGTTGCGTTTTAGATATTGTACTTATTTAATTTGACCATTTTTGTCACCATTTTGGAAGACCTTTCTCACATTGGAAAACATGACACACGATAACAGAGAGGGTGAATATGCATGTATAGGAAAATAATAGAGATCTGTTGTTCTGTTACAAAACATATAAAACTATTCAACACATTCATCCTGAGCTTGAACCTTACATCTTGACTTTGGAAATGTTGTTGGAGGACTCTGAAGGTTAAAAAAAAAGAAACAGATTTCAGAAATGTAAGATGTAACAATGCAAAGAAACAGAAGAAAAATGAAGTTTGAAAAAAATGTGATTCACGGTCCATCCACTAGCTTTCATTACTTCCAATGGTTTCCTTTATGATGCTTAATGAAAAGTCACTGTTATTACAATCTCTCCTTAAGGGGGCATTCAGTAAATGTGAGTATAAAATGTTATTGAAATAATAGTCGTTGGTATATTCAAACAAAAATATAATATATGTCAACCTCACAGTACAGAAAAGGCAGAGATCATCAAAGCCAGGAGGATTCATCATCTGGGAACCATGAATTCAAGATGAAATGGCAATATTCCCTATAGAGGTTGGGATATTTTATTTTTAACCAAACTAGTGGAACAAACTAGGCTTTGCCAGCTGGGCTAATAAAGACCATGTTCAGGACAAGCTTTATTAATCACTTAACTGGCAGAGCTCATCAATACCAACACATGCAACATCTGGTTTTCAGATGGAACACGGGGGTACAGCTATAACAACAGCCAATGATTTGTCTCATAGTTCAATTAGCCAAATCCCAGTACAGACATGTACGCAGAGTGAATCTGGTCTTGATGAACGGTGTCTATCCTGATTGTTTCTCCTTCATCTGCAGCTACAGTCCAATCTGGAAAACAAGCCTCAGTCACGGTGGTACTGTGGAGAATTTATATTTGTTTGTTTACATAAAGACAAATATGGCAAACGGGATCTTCCTTCTTGCTCTGGCTGAGACTCTATATGTTTGTGCATTCAGTCAATCCTGCAGATTTCAGAAAACAAACAAATAGAAGCTCAGAGTTTGCACTGCAGTGATATGAGGTAAATATTCATCAAGCCAATGCTTCACACTACACTTGTTCCTGTGATGTTTCTATAATTACTGGATGGATAATAATTGCCAAGTGATTGCATTCCCGTCCCTCTTTTTTCCTCCACAGATATCTCTTTAGTGAATTTTACAGACCAATTAGGTCCATTTGAAGAATGGAAACTCACTGAAAACATAATGAAAAAACTGTCAAAAGAATATTGCATGCTGCTAATACATGTAAACTCTTAACTGAAGTAGCTTAACTGAGCTTTTTCTCTTTTGCCCCGCTCCGAAAGCCACAATGATATGTGCGGTCATCACCGGTGAATATAGGACAGGCAGAGAAGTGGACTCCCTGTGGGTCCCGGCATCTGTTGCAGAGGGTTCAGCACTGCCATGGAAAATTGGACATTTAGAAGCCAGCTGGAGGACCAGTGTGCCCCACTGTGCCCCCCCCCACCCCACTCAGGTGCCCACTGGCTCCAAGCCACCACCAGCTAGAAGCCACTGGACCAAAGCAGGCCAGATGGTGCCCTTGCCAACCTTCGAGCTGCCCACCGTCCCCTGCCCCACCGTCCATGCCCTATCATTCAACTCAGGGATGAGTTTGAAGTCAGCATAACCTGAGGTAAAAAAGTTTGTTTTGGGGAGGAGAGTAGCAGAAAAAGCTCAAGTGAGTGGGGAGTATGTCGGCATATAAATGGGCCCCATTACGCTGTGTGTTTGTTAATGTAAGCAGCTGCAAGGTAGAGTCGGGGAATCAGTCGGTGGAGGAAAGGACGCTCCACGGGGAAATAAAGCCATCTTCAGGCTGAGCTCATTTGTCCGTGCCTGTGAACTGATAG